TGTTTATTTTTTTTTTTTAAATTTTTTTTGGTTTTTTTTTTAAATTTTTGTTTTTAAAAATATTTTTTTTAAAAAAATTTTTTTTTTTTTTTTTTTTTTTTTTTTATTTTTTTTTTTTTTTTTTTTTTTTTGATTTTTATCTCTCTTTCTCGCTATTCTTTCAGATAGATCATTAAAAGAAAACCCATGTTTAATGAAGTAGACACTAACAACTAGATTGTAGTTATTGAAAAAAACAAACGTAATTGTGTTTTATTATCATTTTACTTGTCATCCCACATACATGAGGATTCGTAGAAGATATAATTAAAATATTAAAAATATTTCGATGTTTATCATCTCAAATATTTACTTGAATTGACAAAAATATAAACCTCCCGCTAATACTTATAAATATGTCTTGTCTAATTACAGAGAAATAGACAAAATAATTGCAATAATAAAAATTATAACCAATATTGGTAGATTCTAATATTTTTTATCTTAATTTTTTTTTTTCACTTTTTTTCTTTTTTATTCTTCATTTATTATTATTTTTTTGTTTTTATGCATTCTTGTTTTCCACTCCATAAAAATTATGTGTCTTTGTTTTTTTTTTTTTCTTTTATTTGGCATTCATACAATATTGTTTTGTTTTTCAAGTATAAAAGACAGGCAATAGCAAAACAAAAAAAAAAATAGCGAAATAATGTAAGAGAAAATCTATAGATTATGGGCATATTACATTTCAATAGAGAAGAAAAGAAAAAAGAAAAATGGAAAAAAGAAAATTACAAGTGTATCATTATTTTTTGACATTGTTTATTGTTCATAACTAGAAAAAAGTAATACTGTAACTATAAATCAACTGTCGATTTTTTTTGACGAAGGTTAGTAAACAGAGTAAGGATAATAGAAGTCATATTGAAGGATCAAAATAAGAGTAAGAAAAAAACCAACAAAACAAAAAAAATTTTTTTCTAGGACTTTAGGATATAGATGCAGTATATTCATTTTTCAAATAACCCACAGAAAAGAGCATAAAAAATTATGTTTATCGTAATACTTTCAGTATTACAACTTATTCAAAACTGTCTGTTTTTCTAAAAACATCAGGAGAATATTTGTCAACTGAGTTTTGACGTAGTTGAATAAAGAGTATGATTATTTTTGCCATTTATATTGTTTGTTTTATGTATCCGTTTTTATGTATAATAACAGTTTGATCCCCATTATTTTATCATATATACAATATACCATCCTTAATTATTCACTATAGAGAAGATAATTTTTATTCGATCTTTCTTTTTTTTCCCCGTCGTTATACTAATCATAATCATCAAGTATTTGATCATGTTTATTTCAGACAGATCTCACAATTCATATATATATAATAATAAATACATAAAAAGCTTTTAAAAATCTCTTTTCACACATTAAATATTTTTTGTTCGTTACATCGTTGTACAATAGGAGATTGATCTCTTATATTTATTTAATGATAGAACGAACAAACGAAAATAAAAGATGAAGAGTGACATATGAAAAGTGAAAGGTCCTGATTTTTCTATGTACTGTATGATATTAGCACACATAATCAAATTGATACGCAACAAGTGCTTTTGTCGCTAAAAGGTGATTTATAAAGGAAAAAATGTAAATTTTTAGTTGATGACAAGAAAAAATGATTGATATTTAAAATAACAATAACAAAAAATGATATCCGAGAGCGAGTTACCCGACGAGAAACGTCTTAGATATTGTATAAAATCGGTTTTGTATAAAATTGTATAAAACTCTCTTATCTATCTCTAGGAACTACTTGTATATGCCACGATAATCTTCACAGATTGATTTCTAAATCTGATAATGACAATAGTTATAAGCCTAATATATAATTTCAATATTTTTACAATAATATGCTATAAGGCATTTATCGCATATAGGTCTCTGAAAAACAGATTGATCATAATTATTTACTGTATATTTAGTACACATTGCGTAGTTAGTATAATGTATTTTGTAATTGATTTGCTAGATTCTTTTTTCCAACAAGAATTTATAGTCACTAATCTTCTAAACATTCAAGTTAAGAAAGATTTCAAATATATTTTAGTATGAATACAATTCAGTTCAAACAATAATCATAGGCGTGAAATAATCGTTTGATATTCTCTATTCCTACTATTTTATAGGATTAATTCTCTATAAAATTTTTCTATATTTTGTGTTATTATTTTTTTTTTGTAGCTTATTTGGCTGGCTGGAATGATATGCAACATCTCGTCAAAGATGATCGAATTCGAGCACGCCATTTACTACATATATCACAAGAAATTGTTGGTTTAAAAAATAAATTATTGGATGAAATTGATAATATTGGACAAGAATTTCAAAATTGGAATCAATTCGATAATCAAATATATTTAAAAAAATTTTATAATTTAATTGAATTTCAAGTGAATGTTGTTGAACACGTATGTTATTAGAATATATTATCCATTTTTTGTTCTTTTTTTTTTGTTTTGAAATAATATTATCTCATCATTTTTTATTTTATAGAATATATCAAAAACCATTTCATGTTATCGTAATGATATTGATCAAGGAGAAAATCATTTAAATGAATTTCGTAAAAATCATCCAGAATTTACCGTTGGAAATTTGAATGAACAAATAATTATAAGTAAACAACTTCTCGATCAACTTTTAGACAAGTAATTATTAAATATAAAAATATAAATTATTTTATATATATATAAATATATTATTTTATTTTATTTTCTAGATTAGAAGCATATCGAACATTATTATCAACAATTTTGGTAACTGTAAATAATTTTCTTCGATTAGAAGATGATATTGAACAAAAATTTATCTATACATTTCAACAATTAAATAATAATCCAGAACAAATACAAAAATATTTAAATAACAGTGAAAGATCGTCATCATCATCATCATCATCAATTGACTATAATAATAATAAGAAGAACAAAGTAAAAGTAAGAAATTTTATATTATACATCTATTGAAACATAGACATTCAATTTTAGTCTAATTATTTCTTCTAAAATTTATTTCTATCATTTTATTTTTTTTTAGGCTAAATTAAATGAAATAATTCCGTTAGTTGAAAGATATGGTCAATTAATTAAACAAGTTGACTTATCAGTTATTGACTATCGCTACCATTTTTTAGACAGTTTATATCCCATATTAGTAAACTATTTTCAACAAAAAAACGAATTATATAAAAAACAAATGGATTATATTAGTTCGACAGATAATACAAATAATATTAATAACTATAATAATAATAATAATAATACAAACATGAACAAAAATAAGAAAAAATCTCAGACAAACGTAACATTTAAGAATGATCCCAATATTCTAATTAACAATGTTGAACAATCGACAAAAACAAGAGAAATAAATTATGATCAAGAACAATTTATTAAGAATAATCAAAACTTAAAAAATAAAAATTCAATATCAAATAGTACACCAAATTTTATAAATGAATCACCTATAATCGAAAATAATAATATTTTATCATCTTCATCTACACGAACATCAAGAACAATTTTAACAAAACGGACAAATCTTATCAATGAGAATCCTTCGAATGAATGTAAGTAAACAACAAAAGAATAAATTTCATAATTTTGTGTAAATCTTTTTAAAATCTCTAAAAAATGACTTAACTATGAAGTTAGTTTTTTGACCATTTATCAAATCAAAAGATTTTCTTCAATACATCACATCTCTCTTTTTATTTCCTTTGACTAGTAGCGCCATAATATCTTCGTATTTGAAACTTTGTTTCCTAAAAATTTACATCGAATTAATTTAAATGATTCAAATTAATTTATGTAATTCTTTGTCTTTTCCGGATATTCATTAGTAAAAAATTGTTTAAGTAAAATTATCTGACTGTATAGAGGGAGGAAGTGTGTCGTCTGCAAAATACCATGTTGTAGAACAGTAACCTTGAATAGACTAATTTTCTAGTAATTTCTAACATATTTTTTGTTGTTTTCGACTCCATAGATATCATCATCTTACGTCATCAACCAAAACATTGGGTTTTTTTTCGTTCCTAACATCTGCACTTCACACAAATTTTTTTCTATTCTTTCTTCTATCTCGTTAAGAGGATCAAAAGCTATTTTACCAATAAAAAATTACACACATTCGTTTCTTTTCTTTTTTACCGCTAGACCATATATATCATTCTATATTATATCCATACGGTTTCGTCGTTCGTATATAATTTTTCAGGGACGCTTTTTTTTTTTTGTTATTCTTCGAAAAAAAAAAATGTATATTAACGGTAAGCTAATCACCTTCTTGACGGCCGCCGTACTTGAAAATTTTTTAGATTAAGTTTTGTAAATGAGAGAAGAATCACGTAAAAATATTTCAATGTGTGGTTTTTTTTTTAAATAAGACGTACGTATATAAATATAACTATGTTGAACGACAGCCAAAAACTCTGCTGTACAGGGAAAATCGCCTGTGATATAGCTGATACACGATTGAAATGGTTGGGGTACATGAGAAAGAGAAAATAGGACAGAGAATCGATCAAATTTGACTTGTATGTATGTATTTATACAGCCTATGGACAGAACGTATGAAAGAAAAAGAAAGGCGTTGTATAAATATACAAGGCCAACAATGATAAAAATTTAAGACAAACATTAACTGATTATATACACTCATACATCTCTCTGTTTATATACTTTTTCGTTTCGGCAGGTGCAGTGTGTAGGTTAAGTTCAGATTTTTCAATCAAACCTCACTTGTAAGTGTCCACGTCTCTCTAGTTTCTCGATAAAATACGGAATACTAGTAAGGTTAAAACTTTCTAGATAGAATATTAATCCAGGTCGACTTCATACGATTGTAAACAACGCCATAGTTCATGCAGACGTAATACGTTGTCGTATACAACCGTCGTGAAAAGACATACACGATTGTAAACATCATAAACGTTTTTACGGTCGTCGTATACGACAACGTATTATGTCTGCATGTATACGATGATTTGCGACTAGATATGGTCATTATGATACCAGCTAGGAGATTTAGTAGAAGAATTAGCTGTGTACGCCTAGTATTTAAAAAAAAAGCATAGTTTGTAGCTCATCGCTGTTTTCATACGTTAAATACCTTTGTTTTTGAAAAAACTTCATCTTGTATAATGTGTGTATGCAAGAAAGCGATGGATAAACGTTAAACTGTAGCTGAAAACTATACCTATTTATTTATTGCTTTCAGTTGATTCGGATCCCAGTCAAAATACAACGAGAACATCCTCCTATATATCGGACGATTGTAAAGTATTATACATTGAAACAGTAATCGAAGTATCGAAACCCGTATTTTATGAACGAATAAACTCCCACAGTACTTCAGAAATTCATGACATCCATACAACAGATGAGTCATTAAAAAGTTCAAACATTCCAACAGTAAAAGCTAAGTTTGATACACCATCATTCAAACGAACTACTAATTATTCTCGTTTCGTTCAACAAAATATGTCTGATAACGACGATAAACAAGATATTACTGATAATGATGATGTTGAAACAAACGATAATTTCCTACTAAACCCGGTGAATCATTCGTCGTTGAACACTCAACCACTATCATCTACTCCATATAACAACCGATCGACCAGCGCGGACCATCCTGACAGTGGCTATGAACCATCACCAAATTCAACAATACAAAAGGCTCCAGAAACTACAGCGCGATCAAAGTCGACTCAGAATGTTTTTAGGGACGACCAAAGTCGGGGTTTCCGTATGTCGAGCAGAGTACCACCACAAAATGAGACAAGAACAGCAAACAATGATGACGATGAAGATTTCTCGCAAAAATTCATATCACCAATGATTACACCAAAAAGACAGCAAAAGAATGACGAAAATTTGTCGAGAATTATTAACCGTGAAGACTTTTCACAAACTCAATTCAAACCATCGCGTATTAAATCAAAACAAGAAGTTTGGCCTTCAAATAGTGATTCATCACTGCGTAATGAATTTAAAGTTCGTCGGTCTCCCAATGAACAACAACATTTATTTGTAACAGATGATGATTCAACAAATTCACGTACTATGCCACGACAACGTCATCAATCACAAATCAAAAATCAATTATCATCTTCATTAAACCAATCCACTAATGTTACTAGGACTACACGATTAGTACCGCTATCGTACACCGATCGTTTACGTCAAATATGGTTAAAATCACTGATACTTGGTTTACTGATATTATTGGCTTTATTTACACTATATTTTTTTTGTCTTGATTCATGTACACAAAATTCATGGAGCCGAAACATCATTAGCAAAATAATTAGGGTTGAACATGACGGATTGCCAACAATGTGAAAAAAGATATTTTTTAGTTTTTATTTTAAACTATGCTTCAGTTTTTTATATATACATAATATTTCTGCTTTTGTCACACGCATGAAATTTGTTTAACACTGTTGTTTTTTGTATAGATCCTTTTGACTATCTTTTTTTTTTACCGTCTGTTGTACTAATCTTTTTGTTGCTCTTTTCAAGAGTATGTTATTAACTCTGTTATTTTTCTGTAAATAATGTGTTGTTAAAACAAATCTTCTTTTTTTATATGTCTATGAGTTTGAAGGAAAGAAGACAAAAAAACGATTCTAAACAACGATGTATCAATTTCAGTGGAACTATAAGGGCGACGAGAGGAAATACCATTTGGAGTTTGATTGATCGTGTTCAAAAAATTAAAAAAAATCAGAAACATTCACCAAGGGAACAATCACATTTAGATTTACGTACGCATCAACTATTCTACTGTATTAATAAGCTGTGATTTTTCACATCTACTCTTTTTTTTTTCACAAAAATTTGTGCAAATAATATCAGTATTTATTTGACTATGTACCGATAATTTTGTTTAAATGGAAGTACAAAAAGAATTTGTTGAAAAAGAATCATTTGCCCACTTAGTTTCAATGCTCAAATAAAGAAATATAAATCTCATGTCAAATCGGTCAAAAATCAACAAATGTACACTTTCTGTATCAGATATATGCATGATTTTGAGATAGATCTTACACAATCGAAGGCAAAATCTGATCAATAACAATTTTTTTCCCATTTCTTTTACCAATGATTTGTGATTCTTACGTTGAGGCAGTTTGAAACATCACTTTTTTGTCGTATGTCGTTTTGCATTTCAGACGATGTATTTACTATTTTTTCAATTACTATTTAGAATTTATAAAATTCATTATTTCGTTTTTACCCAATTTTCCTAATGATTAATAATGAGTATTCATCAGTACATATATTTGATAATTTGACAAATGATTTGTTTTCCATCACCCTTATCAGTATTTCAAATATGCCAAGTGTAATTATTTGTCATGACTATGGCAAAAAAAATATTGGTTTTTCGTTTGAGTATAGTGGTATGAAATTGTCGAATCAGTTTAAGATACAAGAATTCCATTTCCATATTCTTTTACGGTTAAAAGACGTTTTTCTATAGGAATGGTCTCTCTAACACTTCACTAGACAACTACTTCGAGAGATGTACGGCACTATAACTACGAGCATTCCAAGATTCTTCGCGCTAGCATTTCTTTATGACATTTTTAAAAACTTATTCTTACGGTGTCACACCCACTCCTTCGATAGAAAATACATCATTGAACACCCGAAACTCGCGATAGACATATAGACAAAATCAGCGAGTAAGCTGATGTTTCCTTATAAAAGATATCTGAGATGTTTGACAGCTTTTCAGAAACTCTCGAAAGAAATGGTCACTAGTGTTAGTTGTATTAAAAATTCTTTTGTTAGCATTATTGTTGTTTCATATTCAACTCGGATAATAGACGGTTCTTGAAATAATCTATTAAATCAAATCTGACAATAATTCTATGAGTGTTGCTAACAGAACGAATAACATAAAAAAACAGAATAGCATGATAAAGCAATCATGTAGTACTTGACAGAGTAAATGTACTTCTGTAGCTCATAAATCATAATAGGTTGAAACGTCATATTTTATGCACATGTAGTCTATGCTAATCACCCACAAAGCTGAAGTATCTCAGATTTCTTCGTTTCCAATAATACATCACTAGCTTTAGATCTAGGCGAAATGAACACTTGAGTACTAACATTTAGTTGTAACACACTTAATTTCCGATGGCCGATCGATCACATTTGGAATCTGAGGACAGTATTCAAAACGATGTATAGCTCTACTTAGAAACATCATTTGGACTTCAAACTTGCATTGCATACTCTGCAGTGTATGTGGATTAGTCGTCTAAATTTTAGAAGTTAACTACTGTATGGCTCCAGATAATGAAGTTTATAAATTCTTTATAGATTCGTCGTTCTCAAAACATTATGATACCTCTACTGTTATACACGTTTACACACCAGCGCCAACTCGCGTTTTAATAAAAAAAGCTTTGAGGCTGTGATTTTAATCTGTGTTTGAGTATGTGTCATAAGAAGCTAGATAGCGTTAGAAGTTTAGTTTTCATCTATTCTATTTTCTTGAATTCTTTCTTCGCTACATTGCTTAGATCTAAAAAAAAAATCTGACAAACAGTTGAATCTTCACAGGTTAGAATCTTGAAATTCCGGCATGTTACATCTTTCATCTCAGAAAAAAGTGGAAGTTTTCATGGTACTAATGACTATGAAACTAATATACCTTTGTTCTTAGAGGGGGAACTGATTGAGGATAGCATTGTAGGTTAATAAAATTAGTTAGAACAGATTCAGAAGTCTCTACCCGACGCTAAAACAGACTTTTTTTGTGATGAGGTTATTATTTAGAAACAGGTGATTGATTCGGTTGGGAAAAAAAATTCAAAAGTTAATACGGAAAATACCTTGAAATTACTTGCGTCTTTATAGTTGTTGTTTTTATGATTTATACAAAATTTTATCTTAATTCTGGTTTATACGTGCACGTCAAATTTAATCAGGAACAAATGTTAAAAGCAAAATCCGACCGTCAAAAATGAAACAATTACGTGGATTATAGTGTTTGCTTCTGACTTATCTCTATCATATTGGTCGTTTTATACTAGAAGATAACAGCAAAATCTATTCAATAGCTTTAAGAGAGAAGCCTTGAGAGTAAAATGATTTCAAGTTGAAATAAAAGAAAAGTCAATTAACAGGATCAATAAGGTTTTGGGGGCTCCATTTAATCTATTAAAGTTTCGGCTTAGCCTTGTCCTGGAAAAGTACGAATCAATTTCATCTCTGTTTGAAGAAATAATCGAGTAGCAACCAATCATCAGTCTTTTAAAAGTACGCTTGATAAACACTGTTTTGATTTCCTCTAATTTCCATCTATCGATCTTTAATGAAACGTCAGTGATCATTCTCGCTTCATATAGATAAAGCAAAATTAAAGCTGTTAAAAACATAAAAGCATTCATTGCAAATTACGATAAAATAAGTAGATCAGCTCATTATTTTTGGTTAGTTTTTAATTCAAAATTTCAGATTAGTTGTATGCAGAGAACTATTAACTTTAGCAATAATTTCTAAGAAATTTATTGAAAGTTACAAAAACAGCAATTTACATCATTACATATAAAAATTCCTCATTATTTTACTGTAAAGACACTATAAGAAAAAACACCATATATTTCTTGCTAAGGATCAATTTTTTTGTTCGTTTGTTCTTATAAAATTGTTATTATTATTATCAATATTGGTTATCAACGAGTCTAACATTGTTTCTAATCGAGATTTTGAACATTGACCAAAAATTTCACTTGGATTTCGATTAAAATAAACTTGATTGATTATTTCTACTTGCAACTCGTTTTCTAAAAACAGAATAGAATTTATATTTACAACAGAGATATTTGCGATTGAATTTCTCTATAATTCCAATTCTTGTTGTTCAACTTTAAAATATTTAATAGATAGTTTATTTTCGATCAGACATACTTCTGGCCCATCGAGGTATTTTCTTTTTTTGACTACTGGTTGGTAAATCATCATCTTCTGATTGATTATATTTGTTTACTTGTAACACAGTCATGTCATAATTATCATCGTCCAATGGTTGTATCTCATTTATAAATTGTTCTTGTTTTATTGTTGTTATCGATCTAAAATAATTTAAATAAGTTTATTAGATCTACTACGTGATATTATCTTTTCATCTGTATTTCATATTTACTTAGTATGCACAGAATTTGTAAGATGCGATCTTGTTGTCCGTTTCATTAATGCTTGAATACCCATTAAAGGTATATGACGAGCCATTTTCAACGATAGTGGATTTTCATCTGTTGATATAGGTTCAATTTGATTGTTTTTATATAAAATCAAATGTTTATTTGTTGAAAGAACGGATGGTTTAGCATCATTCGAATACTATTAAAAATAAAAACAGTGTCAGTATACGTTATAATAATGTTAAGCAAGAGCAACAGTCATCCTAGTAAGAATCTTAGACACTTCTTAAAATTATCGTAGTGACATCTTGATAATACAATCTAAGATCTTATTTAAGGTCTATATACGATTTGATAACTTGCCTGTAAAAAACAAGTGTCTCAGGACACTTTTTGGTCGATGAATGGGACACTATTTCAGAATTTTCGCGTTGATCATGACTCCAAAACTTGGCTCCGTAGTTAGACACTTTTAAAAGTATTCCATAAAAATGCTACTTATATTTTTACAGTGTCTATTCATCCGTTTGTTTACTCTCATGCATCTATATAAATAACACTGACAATATAGTTGAATTTTAAATTTTTAGTTTTCTTCTAGACTTTGCTTGTATTTTGTTCTCGTGAGAGTGTTAACAACTTTTCAAAGAATGTATGATGCAAGACATGCTCCAGGATTGGACACGCAAAAATCTGAAACTTTTCTTCATTCTTCAAATCATTTCAACTACTATTTTTAACAGTGTAAGTTAGATATTCCAAATTCTTGATAAACTGTAAATGAATATTATTAAATATCACAAAATACTGTTAAGATCTAAATAGATTCTTCTTCAATTTTTTTAAAAAGACATAGCCAAAGTAATCTACATTATCTTATTAAGATTTTGTTTAAGATCTTAAACACTTGAGCGCGAAATTTTACGAAGATCTTAACAAAATTACCAGCAGACCTTAGTCAGCTTCTTTCTTACCAGGCAGAGATGCAACCGGTCAACAAAATCATGACCGGTACCGGCCGGTAGATCGACCATTTTTCTAAAAATTTTGATCGGTAAGCGACCGGTACTCGCATTTCTCAAGAGCTGTTTTGAGATAGTAATTGCTATAAGAACGGTGAACCTTTTGTATGTCTTCTCATTTGAATAAAGAATTTGCTCCTCACCCTCATCGTATCACAGACAGTTATATAACAGACATTAGTCAATACATTCACGTATTAGATATAGACCAGAAAAATATGAATATTTCAAATAGAGAATAATGAATGCAATTATTATCTTTCTTTGAGTAGTACAAAATGATACTAAATATTTTTTTCTCTCATATTTTCTACTTATAAGCCAAGCCGATCGGGCTAGGTTCAGCAGTTTGATCGGAACCGATCGAACCGACCGGTTGATAAGTCTCGACCGGACCGGATCGTGAACGGGTGCCCGGTCCGGCTGCATCTCTGTCACCAGGGCACTGGACGCATAACTTGCCTATTTAGAGTGAATCATGTTTTCGTTTCGTTGTTACTCTAACAAAAGTGTCAAGCCAGATTCTATTTTAGTTGAATAGTATTTAGATCAACAATCTGAACACTGAGATACTGCGGATATGTACTACACATTAGAAAAATTTATAAGAGTTTTAGATTGGTGCTTAATCATGTCGAATTGATAAATATTTTGTTAGATTTAGTAGTTAGGAAATGCCGTAGTTGTACTTACAAATAATTTGAACGACCATTGGAACCTCGATTTTATTTTTTTAAAATGAAGTTTAAAGCGACGACGAACAGTTTTCTTAGACAGCATATCTAACCGATGTACGTAAATAGTAATAACTCATATATAAATAAACTTTTCGCTTTTAATTTTCTGTTTTAAAAGCTACATATTTTTTTTTCTATTTTTTCTACTAATTACAACCTAAAACTCAGCATGTAATTTAAATATTAGAGTATTTCTACAACATGCATAAATTAACTCATAGATATATATCGGCATGAGTTACATCTAACATCAACGATATAATAATACTCTCTAATAATCAATATGTTAAAGATATGACGCAGTTTTATCAATTGGCATTTCCGTGACATTTTTTACAATTATTCACAAATTCATTAAAATGGCAAAAAATAGGCTTTATATATTATTTCGTTTTCATAGAAAAAAGAATGTACTATTTAAAAATTATATCTTATAAGTACAATTTGAACTCTTTTTTTTTTACTTTTTTTCTGTAAAAACTAATACGCACTTCTGTTTATGGATAGACTACCGATATATTATCTGGTCTAATGAATTGATAATTTCTAACGAGAAAAATATACTATGCTATAGGGGTGGGACAGCTCCAGTTTCTATAGTTCTTAAGAACTGATCGAAAGAACTGGTCGCCAATTCAGTTTCTGTTGAACGGGAACTGGTTACCAGTTCTTTTCAAGGCTTCAAAATAAAATAAAACTGATGTAACTAGTTATATTGGCTTGCTTTAGTCAACTAAACACGCCATCCACCTCTGACGTACTACACAAAGTCAATGTAAGTAGGTTCACCGGTTTTATTTCAATTTTAATTTTTTGAAAAGAACTGATACCAGTTCCTGCTCAAAAGAACTGAACTGAAACTGTCCCATCCATACTATGCTATAATTTCTAATCGTACGTACCTGAATTAAACCTCGTAATACACTTTTTCGAAAATAATCTGGTATTTTTTTATGTATTAAACGATGTTGCTGTTGATGATAATTGCTTTGTTTTGTTGTTGATAATTGTTTTTTAAATAAATTTTTTCGAAATATTTTAAATGATGATCTGCGGTGGTCTTTCTTGATGTTTTTGTTGACCGATTTAGATACCAATATGTCGTGTGAACGTAATTTCATTATTTAGAATTTGTTTAAACTTTTCATTCGAATTATATTCTTAATAAACGGGAGTAAAGATAAAATCAAGATGTGCTTGTATTCGGACTATCTAATGCTTATTGGATGTTATGTATCCTTTTTGAATGTTTTTTTCTCCTTCTCTCTTCATTTCTTCACGACTCAAATTAACATTGTAAATGAACATGAATGTTATCCATCAGTGTCAAAATGTAAGTTAACTGATCATTACATGTTTTAATAGAATAAAAACAGGAAGTGAAAAAGGTGATTAATTTGTGTGAAACGGTAAATTAAAGTGTTGACTATGTTTGAGATATGGAAAAACTTGAAAAATCTCCTATTCTTGTTTCGGACCACTAATTATTCTAAATGATAATGTCATACAGAAAGAAAATGCCACGCCCTAATGCCATTTTCAACAAATATTTCAAATACAAATTACTCTCTATCATACTGTTGTTAAAATATATTATCAACCATATTATTAGTTAATTGTTGTTATAACGTCTGTTCACGAGTAAATAATAGCCTCAATATTTTAAATTGAAGAAAATTTTCTCACATTTTTCTCATTTAGACATTGATCTACTTTTTCACTGAAAACATCATCTTTTATTTCTCTACAAAAAGGCGTTAGGCCCTCACTGAAAATAGATTGCATATTTGTGTTTAGCTCATTCAAGTGGTCGGTCTCCTGTGTATAATAACTCTTTCTACCATTTTTTAAATACGCTAATAATGAGGAAAGTAGTATCACTAATCTGTTGGCGTCAATCGGTGCGTGATTCAGTCAATCATAATAATTAGAAAATTATCGATAGTAAATACGATGGTCTTTCTAAAAATCTTTTTACATACTTTTTTTTACGATAGATTAGGTGATAGCATTTTAACCTTAGAAGATACTACTAAAATCAGACTGTTCACATAAAATAAAGAGGTGAGAAAACTATCATTTCTTGACCGGTGGATGGTTTGTGTCTAGGCATGCAACGGTAAAACACCGTAACGATAAACCGATAAACTACCGTTATTGTTGCATGCCTACTTGTATCAAAATCAAATTAGAAAAAAATTGTTCTTAAAATACTGTATTCGAATATGCGTTCTTCTTTAAAATCTCGTACTTGATGGCCAAAAAACTAAGGAAAAAGTGATTGCGAATAAAACATTTGAGGTGAAGTATAAAGTGTTTTTTTCCAAGTTAATAAATTCGACTTCTCGAGTCTGCAAACTTTTATTATGAATATCAAAGAAGTGAAATGAACGGATGTGAGCCTAGTCTATCTAACCCTCTTTTCTTATTTTTAAACTGTTGCCATATTCAACTTCACTCTCTTTAAAGTGTCAATCGATTGATCTGTAGAGTTTACTGTATGATGAGACAGTCTAGTACATACCATAAGGTTAAACTGTTTTTGATCGGTTTTTTCGAGTATCAAATTACTTATAGTATAAAAGAAATCTTGTGACAGCTTGTATTCTTCGTTTTATTAGCAGACAAATAAAAATAAAAAGATATCGCATCTATCTGACAAAAAACGTTCATCGAATATAGAGAATTTAAGTATTTCTCTCCTCTTCTTGCTTGTTACTTGATTGACTGTATACCACTGCCACTGCGTTTGTTTGTATATCTTTATCATTAAAATTTAGAAAGAAATGTAATCATCTTAAGCCACATGTTTATTTACTTTTAGAAGAAATGGTACATGCGATAGATTACCAAACGTTTGTGTGATAGACAAATAGTGAAAAATAATCAAAAATATTTTCTACGGAGCCTGTCTATTTTGTCTTACAATTAATATTCGTTTATTTTCAACAAGTAATTGTTTCGCGAGCATCAAACCCAGTCTATAATTAAAGGTTTTAATCGAAGATAATATTGATCTAACAGGTCAATTCGGTTTATGAACCTCTGGTAAAACGTACAATTGCGCAGACCGCGATCCGACTGGCCTAATTAATTTATATTCATCACCAGTTATAAATGATGGGTGTATGTTGCTTAGAAATGGGTTTGATGCTCGCGAAACAATTAGCTCATTTACGAGTTAGCCCAAGTATTATTAAAGACTCTTTCGGTTTTGTTAATATAGTTAAAACACTTTCAAAGTCATACATGAATTTGAAAATGTTATCATTTCATGTTAAAAATCTATTTACCCAAGTATCGCTGACATACACAATAAATTATTGATAAATTATACGGCAAATGCTCAGTTTGTCTATATAATCGAAAAAAGAAGAAATATGATAAATGTATAGATCGAGATCATTATCGGACTTTGTTACTGTTGGCTAAAGCCGATACTCCCATATCATGTTTAATAATAAGTTGTATGAACAGACTGACAGTGTGAGCATTGGTGGATCATTAGCGAGTATAACTGCTAATATGTTTATCATTTTGAGGAGTCTCTACATGATAATTTATACAAGAAGTGCTTGATATTTTGGCAAAAATAGATAGATGATACATTCACCCTAATAGATCCTAGTGCCTCTGTTGATAATGTTTTCGCTGAGGACCTAACGCTTGAGAAATAATTCGTAGTCAAATTTATTGAATTTCCGTGAGCGAAAATAGCGAGATCAAAAAGTATAAACTTTTTCTACATTTCCTCTTCGAAACTTCATTTTTATGCAATCAAGCCTATTTTTCACATTATACAAGTCTATCAAATATCATTAAATAAATATTTGTAGTTTTTTAGAAAATGTCATTCAAAGTTCGTAGAATCAAGTTGCAGTTTTTCGATGGTTTTCATATGCCAAGTTTTTTATTGTCTAGAAAAAGTCACTTTGCATATAATATTAGTTTTTATTAGCTAATCTTGATGGTTCAGCTGTCTATTTTTATTCATCCATTTTGTTCTCTGAATTATTTTCCCTTTTTGTCTTTTCCTTCGTAACTCTTTTTGTCTTTCTTTGGAGTTTACCATTTATTGATACGATCGTGAACGCTAACAAAAATGCTAAAAGTTTTAAAAAAACAAAAAAGTTTTGCTTATAGTGTTTTTTACCATACTTTTACACCTCTCTGGCTTCGAATAGTTTTACAAAACACAAAAAGAAAATTAGCTTATTTTCACTGACAAACCCGAAAGGATCCTGTACAGACACGAAACGGCATCTATAGACAATACGAATCGATGTATCAACATCAAGTAGTGTATTGCGCTATACGAAATACTGGATAGTTAAAGAAAAAATTTCGGTTTCGGTTCCGTCGTACTGACGGTGTGTTGGGACTATTTCGTTTCGAGCATATTTCGTCTGCTATGTCCAACCGGAAGCGCTGAAAAGGTTCGAAATCATTGGACAAACAGATCACTTACCCAGATTCATCGTATATTCGAATGGATCATCCATTAAGGAAGACTCGGTCGAACGAGAAGGAAAGTCCTAAGTAATCGCGCTTTTACCTTCGAAGTGGTTTAGACAAATGCTTCAATCCACGTAGGTTGACTTGTTCGCTGAACAAATTTGATACAATTATTTGTTTGTTGTTCAAGTTTTCTCATTGAAGCGGTTATTGTATTTATTTGACCAGCTGAATATGTCGAAAAACGGTCAATTTGGTATGGTATGATGCCATTTGCCCATTTGGCTGCTTTCCCATAGGCATTTCTATTTTCCGTATGTGGCATTGTTCCTTTTGGGAATGCAATATCTCCTTCCACAATTTCAATATCTTGACGATCAAGTTGAGCACCATCCAAAAATATGTGGCTCCATTTAATGAAAGGGATATAATGATGCATCGTCCATGAATCTGGACGCTGCATCATTATATCCTATGATGAGCGTCTGACATATTGAGGCAGTAAAATATGGTGCACCGATTTCAAGTCTTATGCTGACCGGCCCTTTTAGTTCACAAGACAAATAAGATCAACATTTGCTGAAAATATGAGCTCTCTAACATGAATCTGACGTATCACTTTTATTGCATGAGAATGCGTAATCATTCAATAATGATGAATACAATCAATTGCGTACTAATTAAGTAAAATCAAGAATAATAACATATCCACCCTCTAAGTTGGGCGTCTGTTTTTCGTTATACGTAGTTTTCATTGATGAAATTAAAAAAATGGCGGTCAATCTGTCATAATAAGAAGAAAAGATCAAAATCTGCATTTAAGCATAACAAATTGGCTGGTAATCGATTCAATGTGTTTTATCATGCGATCGATATTACCAAAACGGCGGTCTTCGCTTGCTGCTGGCGTAACTATTCATCGATGAGTAGTAAAGCATAGTCTATAGAAGAAAATCTGAAAGTTTGTATCTTCACTTTGAGTGACAAAATGCTCTCTTACCTATTTGTCCCTTTAATTTCTAATCTTCGCTATCTGTATCATCATAATTTGGTTCAGTATTTGGTTTTGGATTATAAACACTAGATATCAGTGTTCGTGCAGTTGCTCTGGTCAATAATTTATCTTCATCATCTTCATAACCTCCATATTCTGAACGCAATGTTTTGTCATAATTTTGAGGGTTGTATAAGCGCATTTGTTCTTTACCATGATCACGAAATTTGTTCAATGTATTTTGATAGATTTCTTGTAAACAATTGACTATATGTTCATATTTTTGACATGATAATGATAAAATTCGTTCTTTTGATTTTGGACACGATTGTGGAAATATTTTAATTTCATATAATTGATATTTTTCTTTTAAATAACGTAAACGTTCACCGAGATTACCACATATATATGAAATGTACATTTCATGAAATAAGACGCGTAATTCATAGGATTCAGATGATTGAACTAATAACGGCATAAATTCAGATAATACTTCCATACATATCTGCAAATCATTCTGATTTATTATTGCCAAAACATATTCGGAAATATGCGATGAGAGTGAATATGAGGGTGAAAGTTGAACAACTGGCGAAGTTTGATCAAGATTAATTTCCTCTAGTTTTTTAACAACTTGGCGTGTCACTAAGAAACGAAAATGCATTGCATCATTATCAATTACATTCCAATTAGAAGGGATGGGTGGTTGAGAAGCTGTTAGCGGCGACAGAGTGGGATCTCGTTGTTGTTGACTACGATTTATTGGATTTTTATTGTAACTATTTGACCATACTAAAAATCAAGAAAAGTGGGAGAAATTAACTATAACAGAGAACTGATTCAAAAAGGTGTGTAATCTTCTACTGTGTACAACAAATAGTTACCTGCTGTTTCTTTTCGTAGACGCGGTGATTGTTCCTGGTTTGTCGTTTTTTTGAGGCCATAATCCGTTAATTTGACTATATTTAATTCTCCAACAATTTTCACTTGTTGACTATCGAGTTGTAAATCCAATTCTTTAATAATGTTTATTTCATCTTTTAGTTGTATAAATTTTGATTCGATTTCATCCAGATCTTGTTCATTCAATTCATCATCTGTTTTTTTTGCAATTTTTTGTATTTGTTGAATTAAATGATCATTCAAAATATGTTGTATTGTTTGTTTAAAACAATAGAGTTGATCGTAAGATGAATTACTTTCATCGAGTATTTTATCATGCATCAACGCTATACGATCATACATTTGACGTTTCCATGAATCTAATTCTTCATTGAGTGTCTCATGAATCTCCTCCAATTCTAGCTGATTTAACATTTGTTTTTGTTCATTCGTTTCACGAATTAAATCCTGTATTCGTTTGTTAATATCTTGTGAACAATCTTGAACAGTTTGTGGACGAGAAGATACTGTTTCAGTCACAGCAACGGTAACACCATTGCTAGCTAAGACACATCAGTAAACATCATGAGATGAGAGCAGATTAAAAAAACAGGGTACAAGAGGAGGTAAGCTATGCAACTGTGCTTCATTTTGTAGATTTTTTGATTTTTCTTGTTCCTGTTTTTCATCTGCTACCTTTGAAATTGATTTCTTCTTACCACTGTTGTTAGACGTTGATTTCTTTGTATCTTGTTCAATAAACGGCTGTTGTGTCACTTTATCCTTGATAAAACAAATTTTTTTCATTACTGTGTTTTGGGATGGATGCAAATTTTTATTCGAATATAGACTTTTCCATCGTTCTGGATTCAAAGCCATTTTTTCAAAAAAACTTCTTATTTAACAAAAGTATAATTCTACAACAAATAAAGATGAATAAAAATCTACTAAATACCATTAATCATATGTTGTATATTGTTTCTTCTATCTCACTTGCGGATTAAAACAGAAGTAAAATAAGAAATGTGCAAGATTTACTCGTAAAACCCCACTAATATAGTTTAGTCTTAACGCTCTGACTGGAACGGGGTAACAGACACTTCTTAAAAAAAATTTTCTGCAAAAAGTTAGTTAAGCAGCGAGCATGTACTTACTAGTATAAGTCAGAAAATGCAAATAATATAGCACATTCATTAAAATTTACTGGTCGGCAACAGTCAACTTTGATACCATGCATGTTCCACCATTTATCTGCTGTTGTTAAGGAAGAGACTTCATTAGTGATTTTTGACACTTATATGTATAGCAAAACAAGACTATATACGAACTATAGTTGTGTGGTGGCAAATTGTACGTTGAAGATGATGCACATACTAAGATAATTGCATTTTAATGTCACAGCGAAAGTGGCATCTCTCAAAGCTTTTTGCAGTCGAATCACTCAACAGGTTTCATACCTTAATTTCTAGGCTTGATAGAAACGCATAAAAAAAGCAAAATGTATTTGGTGATACAGTTATATGATACAGCACGTTTATGGCAACACACTTAATTTCCGATGGCCGATCGGTCGCATTTGGAATCTGAGGACAGTATTCAAAACGATGCATAGCTCTACTTAGAAACATCATTTAGACTTCAAACTTGCGTTCCATACTCTGCAGTGTATGTGGATTAGTCGTCTGAATTTTAGAAGTTAACTATTGTATGGCTCCAGATAATGAAGTTTATAAATTCTTCGTAGATTCATCGTCCTCAAAACTGCTCCTCCTTTAATTTTTCAGGTATATCTCCAAAAGTCAACATCACAATCTCATATTCTTCTCTCTACTCTTACCATTCACCTTTGAAAAGATTAATAACATGTCATTGTGGTCTTTGGAAAAACATGGTAGTGGACAAAATGAACTTTATAAAACGATTCCTATTGAGCTTCTCATCACTGTTATTATTAACCAATTCCAGTCCAGTACCAACAATCTTAGATACTGATATTGGAACAGATTATGATGACCAAGTGGCTTTAACTTACATTCTAGCACGATCCGATTTATTTGACTTAAAACTTGTAATATGTTCATCTTTTAACACGACCGCTAGGGCACAAATCGTAGCTAAAACATTGAGTGTATTTAAACGATTTCATGTTCCGATTGCCATTGGTAACATAACGGGTGTAAACAACGTTTGGGAATTTGAATGGGCACAAGATTATTCATTAGAACAATTTTCGAGTGATGGTGGTACAGTTTATCAAAATGGTGAAGAAGCACTGGCCAACGAGATGGGAAAAGCAACAAGTGAAAATATTTATCATTACATACAAATTGGCCCAGCTACGTCATTAGCGCATGTTTTAGAATCAAACCCATCGTTATCCAAATACATTCGTTTATTCGCTATGGCTGGCTCAATCTACTATGGCTATGATAATACTAGTACGCCATCAAAAGAATATAATGTTGCAACTGATATTCCGGCGGCACAAATCATGTTTTCGTCGGAATGGCTCTATTTTGGATTGGCACCAATAGATTGTACAAATTTTATGCAATTCAACGGTCTAATTTGGCAACAATTTTTAAACTACGTTATTTCTTCAAGCGCGGTTCGATCAATTTTGACAAGTTACGCTGTTTGGTACGCGAATGGTGGAAAAAATATTGATGCCATGGAACCATTTAGTCCTGGAACTGGAACATCAACAATGCATGATGTTTTAGCTGCATTTTTAGCCGGAGCGTACACAGATGTTAGTCCAACAATATCCGAAATATTACCATTAGTTATTACACGCGATGGTTATACTCAAGTGAATGCGTCACATGGAAAAGGAGTAAATTCATGTCTGAAATTTGAAACGTCAAATCCATATTTATCTACCACAGTTGTTGGGTCAATCGTATTAGAATCAATTATAAAACCTACAAATAAGTCGTAAAATCCTTCTCTTTTTATTCGAACTATTTCTAAAGCCTTTCTTTTTTAGATCAACTTTCTTTTCGATTTTTACTGTACACTATAAATAGCTAGCAAAACATTTTTCTAAATTTTAACACTCACCTCTTCAGTTCAATTCCCACTGAAATCGGGTTACCTCATTGCATCCGTGCCTAAGGGTACCGAGACAATAAGCATTAGATACCTTGTCGAAGACTATCATGCGATCGCCGTTGCCAGGATTCGCACTCCGTATCTTTGAAGTACGTTGTCTGTCCACTAGCCGGCTGAGTCACGCTGCTCAAGGCATATTTCGACACATGATAAATGTTTCAGGTAGTTTATTGAAAACAATTAGACGTTTAACATCAGTCCCGCGGTATAAATAATCGCCACTTGACGTTACTAGTACTGGTTACTTTCCATCATTGACATTTTCAGTAAAATATTTGTAAAAGATCTAATGCAAATACAACAGCAACAACGTTAATAATAGTAGTAATAGTGACGTTCTATCAATAATGAAAGGTTGGATTAGTGCTGTTTAACATAAACAAATGAAGAAATGCAAAATGAGATATGAGATATATACAAATGCGAATTGAACATAGACTGTTTAGCATTTTTGTTTGTATGTCAACAATATTATTTCGTTTATTTTTTCCATATTCTTTTTTTCGACAATTCCTAATGTTCATATACGCTATTGTTGGTTCATTTCACCATTCTTGAATAATACTGTTGATATACAAACAAAAGTTCTAGTTAGTCATTCGTCATAAAAAGTTGAACTCTCATATTCAAAGTTTATGTGGAAAATTTCTTGAATAAAATATAAGGATAGTACGAATGATTCTCACAAGTTCAAAAAAAAAGCAATATTTATCCTAAAAAACTCTTCTTGAAAAGAATAAGAGATAGATAATGTATTTCTAATAGTCCATGATCGCATGATGTTATATAATAATCTTCATGTTGAGTTTAATATAAGGGGAAAACCTTGCTGACCGATTTTGGAAAACGTCTGGCAAGTTAGCAAAATAAACCATTCCTGTGTGAATAACAATCTTTTTCAAGTTCTTTACGGATTGCAAACAAAAGTTCAAACGACCGAACATATCAAGATGAAGAAAAACATAAAGTTCGTACAAAGTAGAGAAAAAAGTACTCTTCCATATTTTCAGCATAATCCAAATTGAGAAAAAACATTGCCAAAAGCTTCGCGATTTTGAAAGAATACTAAGCGAAAAAATACGGTTGACGTGAATGAGGGGAACCTTCCAGAAAAAAACATGTATGACTAATGTATGATTATTGTAAAAGGATGCTCGATATCCGACAAAAACAGATACTAGTGAAATACACGGAATATTAGTGGATGGGAGTAGTTGCACGAGAATGAGTCGGTGAAGAAAATTATATACTTTGCAAACTTTGAAATGGTGCTGAAATCATAGAGTTGCATCATTAAATCGGAAATATCTTTTTTTTTACTAATGCCTGGCCTACTGAACTTCATCGTTCGTAGTACACTATTGTGTCGAAAAAGGTTCAATTACCTTGTGAAATGTTCAGTGTATTTTACTAATATCTGTTTTTGTAGGATATCTAGCATCCTTCTACAATAATCATACATTAGTCCTAAATATTTTTTCTGTAAAGTTCATCTCATTCATCTCAGCTCACATAAGATAAATCAAGGATGTAAAGTTTATCTAATGTGTCCACATTCATCTTTTTTATTCTCATCTGATCGAAGAAAGAAAATGCACTTTATCATTGAGAACTTTAAACGTATAACTAATAATATTACAATCTTTTTAATAGAAGTGCCGGTAAGCTAGACAAAATAATCTTATATCAATCACAAAGTTGTCTAGAATAATGGTGTAATATTAAAATTAAAAGATTATTCAGCATTCGATTTATGAAATTTATCGAAGCTTATGCTTCTTACTAAAAAAAACATACACAAAGGTAGTAGAAAAAAATTATATTATCGCCTATTATTTCTAGTCTACCGAACAATACGGATATTTCATAACGTTTCGCATAGTGTGAACTAATACATATTCCAGTAAAGGTAGCAAAAATCCAAGACTAGAAAGCAGATGTGGAAATCTGTATCATATTTTCAGCATATTACATCAGCTTCATGCTGAATTTATTACTTTATTATAGACGTAAATTTTCTGCATTAAAATAAGAAATATACAAATAAATAGACAACAATCAATACGTAAAACTCATCATTATCGTTACCAAATTGATGCATACCGATCTTGTTGTCGAGACAATTTTTGACATGCTTGACAATTTGGTCCATCAGTCGGGCCACAATAACCATCACAGCCCAAAACACCCATTAATACTCGACGACCGCAGTAGAATAGTTTTGTTTGTACACTCTTTCTGGCTGATGCACCATCACTATTTACAAACCATCCGTGTGATAGTTTTTGTTTTTCAACATCCAACTTCATGCAATGAACACAATTACAGCCGTTCGTTGGACCACATTTTCCATTGCAACACGAACAGTACGTATTCAATGGCCCTTCGCAATAAAATTTACCCGATGAACCGAGTCGAGCATATCTTCCACCATCATTTATTGATCTCTCAATTCTGTCATTTGTCTTTAAAGTCATATTAGGTTTGTCAACATTACTTGATGATGGTGCTGATGAAAAAAGACGTTCAATATTTTCTATGATAATATTTTCATGTTTCTCTATTAAATGTTCCAAAAACAGCTGCTTGCTACTAGAAAACCCACAATTGGGGCATTTAAGAATACGGTTGGGACACTGTTTGAGATGATTGTCTTTATCTGTATATGTAAACGTCTGCCCGCAACCGTTCGGACATGTCGAAAATAAATTCCCTATTAAGCGTCGAACAAAATAAGCAATTATTGGTTTAAATTTATTTCGACAGTTTGGACAGGAAGTTTTGTCTTTGACACTATCCAAACATGTTTCGCAAAATAGCTGATGACAACAACTCGTCTCGACTGCTTGATTGGCAATATCGAGACATATCATACATGATAGATGAGATTCTTGATCCGTCAAATTCATTTTCTAAAACAAAAATATAAGTTTTAGAATAAAACGAAGAAAAAAAAGAAGAGCCTATTCCAACGTTGATCTGTGTTGTGAGAGATTATTTTTGTTGAAATTCGTAACTTACTCTTTTAGATCTTATTATCTAGCGAGAAGAAATGTTATTTTATCAAGTTTATACATTATACCTGGTAGACTCGTTCTCCTCAAGACTGCCCCTTCAGTTGACCGAAGTGATAAGTTAAAGACTTTATCTATTTGTTAATATCTTTTTGACTGTCTGTGTAATAGCGGATGCACAGTGATTTCGATTAGGGCGGAGGGAAAATTTTTCTCATTCAGAAAAGTTGAAGACCTTTATTTTTCTTTTGGTTAGCAACTAAATTTTTTTTAGTAAAAAGAAGGAAAAATGAGAAAAAATGTACTGAGAAAATTTTTTAGAGTTGCTTAATAAAACTTCCCCCGCTCCTTGCCAAAGTTATATTAAAAACGCCGCGAACGCACATACTTTTTTTGTAAAATTTATTCGAATGAAATTTTATGGAAGTTTGTTATAAAACTTTGCTTTATGATACTTTGGTTTTTTGTTTGCTTTGTTTGACCATTTTTTCTGCTACAGACTGAATGAAAAGAGAGTTAGAATGAAAGGTAATTTTTTTCGTGCAAAAAACAAATAGCTAAAAGGAGAACGTACGAGCAGTTCTTTTCTCAGAATAAAAAATATCTTTTCAATTTCTGCGCTCTTCGTATTCTTCGTCATGGGAGTATATTACAGTAAAATTCTTGCTTATCTCACTGAATTATTTAACGAATGATTAAATGATGACACATTTTCTCCGATATTATGCATCGAGTAAAAAATTTGCGAGCAAGCTCAATTAAAAATTTAATTCTTTACAAAACTTGTTAGTTTAATATTGGAAACAGTTTTTGTTTTTGTGGCAGAATCGAGGAAAGTAAAACGCTCTTACTACTCCGACAAAAAAAAATACATATCAACGCGAAGAAAGTAATAAAGTTCATGCAGAATAGCGGAAAAGTGCTTTTTCGTCGTCAGCACATTCGATAACTCAGAAGATTTTTCCATGTACGAATCAATATGCAGCAAAGTTTGTCATACAAAGACACTCCTTGTACAAACAACGGACAGAACCGAACAAATTTCACTTCTGCAGAAAAAAACTGCAAAAGTAAATTTTGACGTTCTGTCATATATCATATACAACGATTGAAGTAGTGCAATACTTCAACGGTCAGTATCACTCTTAACGAGTAGTATACAGCCGACCTCTATTTATACGAGGATTTGTACTTGCTTGTACGCCCATAATGCTGCTATGGTAGATAAATAATAGATAGTTTTTACTTGGGCTAGATAATTCATCAATGTACCAATGAATATGCAGCAAAGTTTATCACACAAAGACAATCCTTGTACAATGATGAATTATTTAGCCTAAGTAAAAACTATCTACCAGACGATTTTCTATTTTTGGCGAGGAGTATTGGCAAAAGCTTAGGAAAAGTTTTTAAACAAAATAGCAAAAAAATTCTCATAGGAAAATAATATTAGTTTCAAAATTTTTTTTAAATTTTTTACAATACGTCTCGCCATTAAATAGAAAATTTTCTGAGTTATCGAATGTGCTGAAGACACACCAGTGCTTTTCACTAGTGCTCAAGTAGAAATACACGAAAGAAAAAATTTACGCTAAATCACATGAGAATAATTATTTTTACCCAAATGTTAAGAAATTTGTTAAATTCAGTTTTGGGTTTTTGTAAAGCAGAAACAAACCCTTTGAGGAAAATGACAATAAAACTAACGGATAGGTCAAATTAAATTCTCAATTGAATGAATTTTTACTAGATCCCAAGACGTCGAAAACGGTGTAATTAATTGCCAATTAAATGCCATTTAATACGCTGTTAATAAGCATTTAAATGGCATTTTTATGACATTTGACTCCGTTTTTAGGCCGTTTTTTGCCATTATAACTGGGAACGTTTAAATGCATTTATTTCGCATTTTTTTAAATGTCAAAAAACGGTCAAATAACAGGCATTTAACTGGTGCCAGTAACCCTACTGATCACACTTTTTTGCCATTTAAATATCAGTTGTTAGACCGTTAGAAAATGTCAAAAACATATCTTCTGAATCTGAGGTGCTATCACCTGCATCGAGTCAAGAACCACAGACCACTTCGTCGAGGCAAGTTTCTATGACTCGTATAATTGGAGAACAGAAACACTCTAAATTATTTTAGGAAAATCAGAGTCGTGTATACTATTCATGACGGCAGAATAAAACGGTGAATGACTTGGTGACCATAAACTGGCTGTTAAATGCCATTTTATGACCAGGTTTTTGCCATTTTGAAATGGAGAAAAAACGGACATTTAACGGTCACATTTATTTGGCATTAGTTAACGCGGTCTAATAAATGGACGAAAATGCCATTTAATGGTGTCCATAAAATGACAATTTTTCAGACATTGCCTATAATCTGGCATTATTTTCACCGT